CCCCCCCCAAAAAAAAAAAAGAAGTTTTATCTACATGAGTCCAGCCTAAGGTGAGGCTAACACATACATATCCTGCTTCAAAAGGGCTTTTAAGAAAATCTTATTAGCTGGGCCCTGGTGATTCATGCCTCAATTCCAGTGACTCAAGAGGCTGAGATTTGAGGATTGCAATTTGAAGCCAGCTCGGGTAGGAAAGTCTTATCTCCAATTAACCACCAGAAAACCAGAAGTGGCACTGTGGCTCAAAGTGGCAGAGCACTACTCTTGAGCAAAAAGAGCTCTGGGACAGCGCCCAGGCCCTGAGTTCAAGCCTCACAACCAATTAATTAATTAATAATAAAAAAAAAAGAAAATGTTACCTGTAGTTGTCAATTCTTTGTAAGGATGTAACAAATGATAAGTAGTACTTCCTCCAACAGGAAAGCATTGCTTTTATTTTATTATTTTATTTATTTATTTGTTTATTTTGTCAGTCGTGGGGCTTGAATTCTGGGCTTGGGCACTGTCCCTGCACTCTTCAGCTCAAGGCTAGCACTCTACAGCTTGAGCCACAGTACCACTTCCGGTTTTCTAGTGGTTTATTGGAGATAAGAGTCTCACCCTCTGGGTAGTATGCACACTGGGAATTGGGTTGTGTGGACACTGGGATCTGGGGAGTGTGCACCCAGGGATCTGGGTAGTGTGCACACTGGTATCTGAGCAGTGTGGACACTGGGATTTAAAAAAAAAAAAAAATAGTCTCACGGACCTTCCTGCCTGGGCTGGCTTTGAACCTTGATCCTCAGATCTCAGTCTCCTGAGTAGCTAGGATTACAGGCATAAGCCACTGGCGCCCAGCTTGAAAGCATTGCTTTTAAATCAGAAAATATTTTCCTTTAAGAGTGTCATTTTCCAACAGAAAACAAATTCAAACTTTACAGCTTTGGTGCGGGGGTGGGGGGGGTGGGAGGGCGGAGGGGAGCGGGAGGTTTGGGTTGGGGGCAGGGGGAGGATGGGAATGGATGGGAAGGGGAAACAAAGGAGGAGGCTACAATGCTTGATAAGAAATGTACTCAGAAAAAAAAAAAAAAAGAAATGTACTCAGGGCTGGGAAGGTGGCTCAGTGGTAGAGCGCTTGCCTTGCATGCCTGAGGCCCTCGGTTCGATTCCTCAGCACCA